TATGCGGGTCGGTTTGGTAAGGACGCACCAGGAACAAAATCGATCTGATGTTCTATCCCGCGGATGGGAGGTAATCTACTTGGGCTTTCTTCTGGAAAGACGTCCTTGTATTCCTGCAAAAGAGGCAAAACGCTGCTCGGAAGATCCGGCTCACGGTCAGTAAGGCTAGCCAAAGCATTTCTAAACATTAACAAGACAAAGGGTTGTCTCGTAAGCACGGCGTGCTTAAGTTCACTTGGCCTCACAAAAAGAGTTTCTTTCCTCACGGGTAAACTCTCTAAGGCCGTTTCTGGGGTTTTTCTCAGACTCTCAGATTTAGTGGAAGTGTTTAGAGGGTCACTCACAATGCTTTTTCCTTTGTGACTTTGCTCGAGTTTGATCTGGTCTAGATAGACTTCTTGCGGAGACAAAGGCGCTAGGGTGATCTTGCGGCCTTGGTGCTCGAACATATGCTTGTTGGAGAAGCCATCGTGAATGGCCTTGCGATCATACTGCCAAGGTCGGCCCAAAAGGATATGACCGGCTTCCATCGGCAACATATCACACATGATCTCATCCTCGTACCGTCCGATAGATAATGGAACCGAGACCTGCTTGGTGACCTTTAGCTGCCTTTGGTTGTTTAGCCACCTGAGACTATAAGGCTGCGGGTGCTTGTGCGTCTCCAGGCCAAGTTTCTCCACCATTGTAGTGCTTGCCACGTTCGTACAGCTGCCTCCATCGATGATCAGGCTGCAGACCTTACCCTTTACCAAGCACCGGGTATGAAATAGGTTCTCTCGCTGATCTGCTTCTTTTACGGGTTCCTGAGCTAGTAGGACTCTCCGGGCAACGAGCAATTCACCTTCTGCTGCTCGTTCCTCATCTTCCTCATCGTCATAAATCGGTCCAGTATCCTCTCCGTCGGACACGATTTCACCTGAGTCAAGAAGCAACATGGTTCGTTGGTTCGGACATTTATTAGCATAATGACCTTTACCTCGACACTTAAAACATTCAATGTCGCGGTGTCTAGCCGGTGTAGCCTCGGCTTTTCCTTTGAAGTCGGGTGCAGAAGAGCTGGGTTTGGAATCCGTCCTGGGCTTAGCGTCGGATCGAGATGGGTAGCTCGGCTTATCTGTAGGTCGCGAACTGGAACCATAGGCGGGTCGGTTGGTGCCTTTGCGTTTCAGCTGTTGTTCCACTAGGACCGCCTTGTGGTACATCTCTCCAATGTCCCGATAGTCCTGCAGCTCCATACGGTCTTGTATATCACGGTTGAGGCCACTCAAGAACCGGGCCATGGTCGCATCCTCCGGTTCTACCGTATCAGCTTTCAGCATTAGCCGATCCATCTCTTGGTAATATTCCTCAACATTCTTGGATCCCTGGGTCAAACGTCTGAGTCGAGTGTGCAACTCTTGATGGTAGTGGCTCGGTACGAATCTTCGTCTCATCATCCGTGCCATCTCGTCCCAAGTTTCGATCGGTCAGTCGCCGTTCCTTCTCCGGTTGGTAACAACTTGGTCCCACCAGTCTACCGCGTACCCATGGAACTCGGTGGCAGCCAGGTTGATCTTCTTTCTTTCTGAGAAGTTCTGACAACCAAACAAAATGTCGATCTTCTTTTCCCACTCAAGGAACGCATCTGGATCGGTTGTACCATAAAAAGATGGAACCCTCAGCTTCATGCCTCCAAGGTCATTGTCGTTTCGGGCTTGGACTGGTTCAGGTTCGTATTGTTCCCGCCCTTGATTGTTACGGTCTTGTCGAACCTCCTCCCGGTTATGGCCGCGGTTTGGATCTGGGTTGTATCTCTCACGACCGTGGTTCGGTACAGGGTTTTGACCACGTCTATCTTCTCGGCCGCGTCTGGGTCGTACCCGACTACCACCCGAGGTATGACCGTCAGCGTAGAATGGGTTGTCTCTGACATACTCATTTCGGTTATGATTTCTCTCCCTCCGGGTTGGGTCCTCCTGGTCACTGCGATCAGCTCCTCTGTTCCGTCTAGGCTGATCCACTTCCAATCGTTCCATACGCTGGTTCATGTGATCCAGCAGCTGAGTAATCTGGTCCAGCCTATGGTTCATAGTGACTTTTCTTACTTCCTTTGACCGAATAGAGGATGGATCTTCGCTAGAAGACATATAGTACCTCGCAAAACAAACAAACAAGTTAGTAAAAATTCTCACTAAGTGTTTCACTCGGTGTTTCACTCAACCCTCTTAATGATCTCACAAACACTCAAGATAATCTCCTCGGTTCTAAGAGAACTAAATCAAAACTTGATGTAGAACTCTAAACCAATTCAGAATATCAAGCGATTATGAAGAAAAAAGAGAAGATAGAGAGAAAAGATTTTTGATTTCCACAGATCCCTCTTTTTTTTTTTTTTAACTTTGGTTCTTCTTTTTTTTTTTTTTTTAAATAGATCTGGAATTACAAAAGAAAGAAAGGATAAGACGGAATTTGAAAAGACAAAAAGATAGATAATACCGCTTTCTTCAAGTGCGTGGCTCTGATACCACTTGATACGAATTCCCAAAGAACGGCACACACTTGGTCGGTATCGGATGGATAGATCCTTGACTCCAAACGGATTCACGGAGAAGATGCTAAGGGGTGGGTTGGAACCCGAAGATCCTTAGGCCCAAACTCGCGGTGAAAGGCTTGAAACAAGGGGGTGACTAAGCTGGCTGATTGGATCCGCGGAAAAAGGATGTTAAGGCGTGAGAACTAGGTTCCCGAAAATCCCTAAGCCCCTTTAACTACTTGAACGTCCCAACGAGACAACTGGGTGAAGGCTGCGTCAAGTTCTATGGATTGAACTTGATAAACCGAAAAGATTCAAGAGGCTAACCACCTAAGGAATCGAAAAAGTTCTAAAAGAACAAAGGAGAAAACTCAGATTTTATTTGATAAGTGAATGAATCAAAATGAGAAGGGGTACAAGCCTTTATATAGGAGGCGAAGTAGCTCAAGAGACAAACTTGGAAATGACAGAAAAATTAATAAAGTCTTGACCGAAATAAATGAACTAAAGACTGACTCTTCGGCTGGCCTTTGACTGACTCTTGAGTTGCCAAGCCGAAAATGACTCTTGCTATTCCGACCCATGAACCAGACCGCAAACCAACCTAGGTCGAGAGATGGGCAATGGACTTAACCTCGTTAAAACCCCACCCGGTAAACCCATTGGGACAAACCCGGGTGTAAGGAAAAAGAGTATTAAGCCATCACCCGGACCAGATTAGTTACAGCCGGCGTTCATGAGCACGGTCACGATCTTGGGTGATGCTGGGTCGCCTGGTCCAATCTTGATCCCATTAAGTACAGCCTGGACCGTTCCTGCCAGCTTCTTAGCTCTGGATCGCGTCATAGGTCCATCCGGTACGGCCAAATGTGCTTCCGGAACCTCGATTCCATTGTTTGGGTCATCCTCTGGGTCCATGATCGTATCACGTAGGCATATCTGGCTTTTTACAGAGCAGTTCGGCGATGTCAGCCAACGTAGTTTTGGGATCATCACCAATTAGATCCCTCCAGTAATCACCTGGATTTTTGGGGGTAGGGGGTTGGTAATCAGGGTCGTAGTTTTGGCGGGTACTCACCACAAGGCAAACCCGTGACTGTGCCGAATTCTTTGAATCCGAAATGAAATGGTTGACCACCGAAAACTATCCATAATTCGTACTTTTTTTTAGTAACGAGTTGACGGGTTAGAAGTGTGTGGATGAGTTTGCAAGAAATAGGACACCTATGCGCCGGAAGGTCGAATAAAGGGCCAAAACAAGAGGCTCTAATGAATTCAAACGCAGGAGTTCCCTTTAGCGTGTGATGAAGATGAGTAAGCAAGTCCGGTCTAGAGTAAACATTGATGTGGTTTATCGGGTTCCGGTCAGTGGCAAACAGACGGGTGGGTAGTCCTAAATCCGGCTCCATTGCGATAACTAAATAAAAAAAGGTAGAAAAATTACAAAAAATCTTCAAGTACATCGGATCGAAACAACTCGAGAAATATGAAAAACAGAAGTCAAAAGTACTTTGATTAAGTTGTTAATTTTTAATTATAGAAGAATTAAAGAAGAAAAATTTATTACTTAAGGAAATCCACAAAATCAATTACTATCAAGAACTAGGGTTCATGGATGGCGAGTAGAATAGTAAGTTTCACGCCTCGGGAAAAAAAACAGTGCCGTAGGAAGAGATAAATAGAGTAAAGTGTGTACCTAGCGAGGAGGAGATAAAGATGGCGGTCCGGTGGGCGGAGTCAAAGATGGCGGTGTTCTGGGAATGACGGAGGCGTAAGAACGGAAGTTATCCAGAACAACGGAAAAATTACAAAGGCAGTAAAAAGGAAAAAACGGTAATAAATGAAAAAAGTTTTATAGTGAGGCATTATATATATCCATGCGTATGTAATGTTATGGATTGTTGTGCAGATTAGATATTTCGTACTAACATTTAAATTTTGCAGAGGCGTGCTGAGTTAAACATATTGTACATCCATCAGTCATAATGTTTGAGAAATGAATTACGAACATATGGATGACTGGTTATGGAATATAGAACGGCTATAAGATATCAAACTGTTATGAGTAAGAGGAGTAACACATCCATGAATATCCATTTGGATAAGGACACATGGACAATTGTCGAAGGATACAGGAGCGTTGTATTTGTATTAAGTTTCAAACATAACAAGTCCATAAGTGTGTCCATTAATTTTATGACTAATGGTTACTAGGAAATTACAAGGATATATATATATATAAATATGGGACTATAGCAGTCAAATTCATTTGTTGACTAATGTAGAAATATATCAAGTTTCATTCATATAATAGAAATATCATCAAGTTTCATTCATATGAAAAACAACAAAAGAGATAAACATGAACGACAACAAAATTATACTAAGAACATCCCAGACAACAGTTGACATCAAAGCAAACTAAGAACATCTGGAAAAAAAATATATAATTATAGAAGCAAACTAAGAACATCTGACACAAAAGCTACTTCTTCACCATTGTAAGTATCATTGCTGCAATTACAATGAATCCTCCCCATGAGACAACCACAAATTGGCGCAACAATTTCTCCCTTTCTTTTGATGCCATTGCTTCAAATTCACGCTTTTTCTTCTCCTCGGCAGACATTTCTGCAGTAACATTTGCTGAAATTCTCGAATCGATCCCTTGCTGAGTTTCTCGAAGAGTGGCTTCAAGCTCTCTGATTTCGTCTTTTTGACGACGAATCTGCTCTCTAGCCTCAATTAATCGAACCTTCTGCCAACCATAAGGTTTCTCTTTGTCCGCCCACATTGAGAACCCATGAGTATCACATCTGAAAAACATTCTTCCAGGATTCTCATCGGTCCACGACTGGGTCATTTTCGTCGGTTTTCTGCAGTGGCAAAGAGGAGCTTCTTGGTGGTTGTAGTTCGAGTTGAATGAGTTTGCAGATGATGATGAGTTTTCCATTGTGAGTGTAAAGAAATTGAAAGAGAAAGTGATATGTGAGATTGAGGAGTTAAATGATTTAGGGTTAGATTTTAAGAATCGTTTTGGGGAAAAAAGACCATCGAAACCATTGAAAAAGGGGAGGTGATCTTGAAATCCAAAAGTGAATGTTTATATGGATATTAATTATATCGTAAGGACAAAAATATCTATTCGTATAATGACACATGGTTAAGAAAAATTGTAAGACTCGGCTGGGGAAAAGAACGAAAGAATCCATAAGTATATGTGTATATGGATACATTTTAAGATATCCATTTCAGAAATGACATATGGTTAAATATGTAGTGACAGATAGTTATCCATTTATGTAATGATATATGGATACACATATATATCCATAAACTTTTTCAGTGAGGAAACATGTGTAATTAAATTGATTCATAATCTACAAATTGAATTTGTAACCAATTCTGGGTTTAGTTTGAGCAATCTAGATTTCATAGACATGAATTTGTAGACCAAAATCGATTGATAATTGTAAGGTGGCTAAATTTTGGTGTATCTAAGTTAAAGACTATCTATTTCAGTGAGGGAACATGTTTAATTAAATGGATTAGTAATCAAAAATTGAAAGCGTAACCAATTCTGGGTTTGGTTTGAGCATTCGAAAATTCACAGACATGAATTTCAGACCAAATCGATTGATAATTGGAAGGGGGAAATATTTCTGAGTTTTTCGATAAAGTGATGCCATTTCGTGTGCCTAAAAACGCGAACGCTGAACTGTTCATGCGTGAAATTTGGATGATATCGAAATATCAGTGAGATTCGTGTAGCAAAACGTGTGACTGTATTCTCGGAATCTGAGATGGAGATATGGAAAATTTCTGAAGAAGAATAGAAAGAATTCGTGGATGAGGTGAAAAACTGGAAACGAGCAATATCTTTAGAAATTTGCGATAGAATTATTTTCACCAGAGACACAGGACAAGAAGACACCGGAGAGGGAAGAATGATGATCGGAGAAGAAGATATAGGGCATGGTGAAAATAATATTGACGATGAGAGTAATGGTAAAAAACGAGATGGTAGTGAATAATGGGTAAGTGTAGATGGAAGATATAATTGGGAAAAAGGGTGTACCAAAATGAGATAAGTCCACCAAAATACTGAAGTGTCTTTGGTGGTCATAAAAAAGATAAAAAGTATATGTGGTGGTAGTTATCTCTAAATTTTATATATAATTTCTATATCTTTAATAATTTTTAAAAATAATAATAGAATTTAAAACCTTTTTAATTTGCAATGTTGAAGTGAACCAATAAAAAAAGACACAGAATTTGTTTATTCAGTATTAATATTAGAATTTGTAAATTTTTTTAATTTTGAATATTGATGTGGACCAATAAAATTGCTCTTTTAAATCTTATCTAGACATACTGAGAAGCATTTAGCTTCAAGCTTTTTAGTATAAGAAAATATGGTATTGTTTGTATCTAAAACATATTTTATAGTATTTTAGAAAATTAACAGTTTATAAGTTAATAAAAACAAATAAAGTAGAGACATCCATATTAATTTTAAATATATTCAAATAGAGACGTACATATTAATTCTTCTTCTTCAATCCGAGCCCTAAACCAAGTTTCCAACAGAACGATTCCCAAGGAGCTACAGTATCAAAGACTCGTCATCATTTCCCTAATCGACCAATTATGTGGCGATTCGATCCAGATTCTCCATTTCCGCGATTCTCTCTATGGGAAACAATATTCCCCATGAAACTATTTATCCCTTCTTCAATCTCCTCATCAAGAATTGATACTGCGTCATTTTCACTTCCGAAATTTACCTCCTTACGCTCAAAGAAGTGAACTGATTCTGTTTGTAGCGTGGGATTGTACAGAAAATCTGTCTTCTCGATTGACTCAAACGGCAGAAGCACATCGGAAGCTACGTCGTACTCTTTGTTCGCAAAATCCATCAATGCCAAAATTCACCCAGAAACATAGACCGTATCAGAAAAAAACTGATAAAAAAGTTAGCAATATCAATTCCAAGATCAGTGAAACCACCAATTTTGTAGAGATATATATAGGTGTTAAAATTGTTTTTCGAAGTGATATAAATTTGTAACTTTGCTTTTATGCGGATTAAAACAAGGTCAAAATTTGAGAGGGATTTAGACAGATATGATAATTTTGGTCCGGAAATAGATTATCTTTCCTTTTAACATGATTCTGTATTCACTCTTTTATTCATTCCAGACTTTGTATGCTCTGCGAGCTCTCTCTAAACTCCTTATAATTTTATATTTCGATTAATACAAATCCATTTCGTCGAATTTTGTTTTATTTACATTGGTGTACTTTACAAAGGTTCTTGCCCATATTTCATTTATTTACAAGTTACTCTAAATTCTCAAGTGTGGATTTAAGGATTTACGATGTGGTTTCACATGTTCTATTTTGTAATATTTTAATTCATTATAGATTAGTTTGTAAATATTTTTTTTCTTTGTTTCAGCTATGAATTTATATTCTATTATTTAAGGATTCATTTTTTTTAAAAAAAGAAATTTTATTTATAATTTATTACATTAAATATTATTACAAGTAACAAAGAACAATTAAAATAAGAACTGATACAATTGTCTTTCAAAACTACTAAAAAAATTATAAAAGTTTTTTATTTTGAAAAATTAAATATTATTTTTTATTTTTTATTTTTATTTTTATATATAAATAATTTTATCAATAAAAAAATCTATTCAAAATCTTGCAAATTTTTTTATTATAAGTTGTATTATTGTATTGAAATATATATTAAAACAGAAGTTAAAATAGATTAAGTTTAAGTTTATATTTTAGTCTATTTATAACACAAATAGATTAGTCTGGTTTGACAATCCTATTTATAATAATTAGTTAATAATATTATAAATTTTTTAAAAATATCAAAATAATATATTTTTTTTAAAATTACTCCACTCTATAGAGCCGTTCATCTATAATAACATTTCATAATAAAATATTTTTCTAAAATTGTTTCAGATATACTTTTGGTATTTACCAGAACGTTTTAAACATACCGGTGCCTAAATTGCAGAAAGTTTTTTTTTCTCAATTTTTTTATGTCAACCTTTAATTAATTTTATTGTAAGACAATAAACTTTATTCAATAACATGAACGAAAATAATCCATGGATACACAAAGTAATAAATTCAGGAAAAAAAACCTACAATAGAAACAATACTCTTTTAAGAAAATACAATACGAATAATGATGGTGCTATTAAGAGAAAAAATAAATCAATAGATATAAAGTGCAAAAGATACGGGAAAAATCATAAGATTGAGAAAATTATATGGTGAAGTGCTTGGTGCTGCGCTCGTTTTGCCAACCGAAGGACCCGACGCAAATCCTCCTGGTGATTCTGTACCTCTCCAAATTCAGTTATCTTATTAGTATTCAAAATGGATTGCTTTTTTTTCCCCTGAATTTATATATCAAGATAGAACTGTAGAAAACGCTATCCCTTTTAAAGAGGGAAGGATGAAATAAAGTAAAAATAAAATAAATAAAAAAAAGATAGAATTGTGGATGAACTATACTGGATCAAATATGACAAACATTTCTTCTTCTTTTTTTTTTTTATGTTTACCACCAAAAAAAAATCTCTACATGAATATTAAACCAAACATTCCTGTTCTGATTATTACTGTCTTCATTTCGATTAGTGGTGGACATTGGACAAAAGTACAAAACCAAACCAAAATAAACAAGATTCGGAAAAGTCAATCTCAAGAAATATAAATAAATCGAAATAATAGTAAAATTCACATAAACAAAAAGAGGTACTTACAAAAAGACAAAACAAAATTCCTAAAGTTGCTGATTGTTTTAAGTGTGAAACTAGATTCTAATCTATGCATCCGCACAGAAATATTTTTTGTTTGTTTATCAAAAATTTAATATAATTTATGTGTTTTTATTTTATGTATAGAAATAATTTTTATAGAAATAATTTTGTTAATAAGTGACAAATTTTTCTTTTTATATTTAGATATAATCTGTTTTGTACATTAATTTTTCTAATATTAAATATAAATGTAATTATAAAAACATAGCTATAAACCCACCCGTTCATATAAATCTAATCCGTCCACTTATATTACCGCATTTAAAATTTTAGACTGATTGATCATGATAGAAATAGACAATAACATATTGTTTATCATCTATGTAGTATTATTTAAATTTGAATATTGATATTATATCTAAATTAATATCTGATTTATAATTCTTGTAAATAACAACTGACTATAACAATTAATCTAATCTATTTTAGGAAATTCAAACTAATCTAAAATTTTTTAAATTTTCAAAACTATTTTAAAAAAAAAATATAATCTTTTATTAATATAAAATTTTAAAGATTTTGAATAACTCTCTCAGTTTTATTTTATAAGTTGTTTGGAGGTTTTTTCACAATATATGGTAACAACTTTTACTTTTGTTGTATATTGTGTGACCAATTATATTATCTAGTATTTTTAATGATTAGTTAAAATATTTGTAATTTCTATATATTAAATAATATTTTTTTAAAGAAAAGTAAATATTTTAATAGTTGTGTTTTTAGCCAAAACAACTTACATTATGAAACGGAGAAAGTATTATTAATGTAAAATAAAATAATTTTTTATTGATATTTCATGAAGTTAACATATATATTAAGAAATTAAAATTAACCTAAAATATTGTAAATTAATATCTATATTTTCGGAATTAAACATAAATATAAAATAAAATGTATTTTCAATAAAATAAAGAGTGTTTGGATGTAGTGAAATGTTATCTACAGAGTCCAAATGTGTATCACTTTTAATAGTATAGATATGTTAAAATGACCCTTTTGTGGTTTTTGTGAAACAAAGAGAATATTATGTAAAGTGTGTTACGAGGAAAATAGTATACTAATAGTTTAAATTTACAAGAAATCATATTATTTAAAAAAACACGGAGCAAAATATGACTATCTTCTGCCGTTATGCATATTCTCTGGAAAAAAACAGACCAAATACCTACAAAGTTTTAACTTAATTCATCAAAAGGAAAAGAAAATAGTCAAGTTGGTTATAATTTCGTGTGTTTTTTTCCTAATCGGACTAAATAAAAACAAATCGAACCAATTCACATTAGTCCACAAGCAAATTTTTTTTTTAATCTATACTATTAAAATAGAAACATGTTTTGTCTTCAAACAGGTTTTACTTAGTTTTCTACTATTATGTTTTTAGATAACTTTTATTTATGTTACTAAATGAATTAATTTAATGTAATATTAATAAAATAATATATTTTTATTTTAATTTTTAAACAATTTAGAAAATTTAAATTTGTTATAGATTTCCTTAAATATAGGTTATATTATTTTAAAAAATCAAAAATAAATTATTCTTATATTTTAGATTTAATTTAAATATTCAAATTTCAATGATATTTTCAATGAAAAAAAAAATAATATATTATTGTATATTTTATTAAATAAGTCTAAAATTTTAAATATTTAAATTTAAAATGTATATAAAATATATAAATAATATGAAAGGACGGGTTATAATTAAGATTAATATAAATAGACATGTTCTAATGACAATTTTATAATTGTTGTACTTTTTGAATTAACATGAACAAATGGGTTAGAATAATGTTTTTCTAATTATGGTTCTATATATATTAAATATAATAAATTAATAGAAACAAATTATATATAAACAGAAATAAATATTTATCACTTAATAGAAAATTATATCTAAACAAAAATAAAAACATAAATTATATTACAAAATTTGATAAATTAAAAATAATTTCCGTGTAGATGCACATTATATAATCCAGTTAACTTTATGAGCAAAATATACACTCATAAAATTAAATCGTTTACCTGAAGTTGGAGCGAAGGCTGGGGAGGCTTCCTCGTTGCCCATAGGTTCAGGTGCTCCAACTGGAACTCCAAACACTGTTAAAAGAAAAACAAAATAATAACCAAATACGAATTCTCTTATTATATATTTCTTAGGTCATCCATCAGTATGAACTTGCTCTTTGAACTGCTACTTAATTACAGATTATAAGCAAAATCCGTTTCCTTACATTATGTGAATCTGAACTCATATTAACGCGCGTCCATATGTACAAAAAAAATCAAGACAAAAAGATTGAAAACATGTGACACTTTCGGGGAACCTATTAAATGTGAGAGTAGCTGAGTAGTAAACTAGTTAGGTAGATAGTGCGGCCAATACATATCACATTTCCATTTAAATTATTTTTTTGAAAGCTTAGTTTTAATTAAATTCTAACATTAGTAAGGCAAGAAGAAAGCTGTTCATATTCTAACATTAGTAAGGCAAGAAGAAAGCTATTCATAATTCATATTCTAACATTCGATAGATCGTTCTGTTGGTATAATATGTAAATTTATATAAATAGCTAGGAAAAAAAATTAATGGTGTGACTTCAATAACATAATACATCTTTTCTTCAATAACAAAACCATCTATCAACTAACATAATACATCTTTGGAATTCAAGTAAAAATGTTTTAAATATCTCCCAAAAAAGTTTCAATAAATTTTCATCTCATTTGTAGACTGATCCTAACTTCTGATTTTATAACTTTTCTTTCTATATACAGTGAATAAGTTCATTGGTAGTTCTATAACTATATTTGCATGCAAGAATATTATTGATGAAACAACTTCCATAAATTATAAATAAATAAATAATAATGATCAGAGACAAGGTTGAAATTTAAGACTTACGAGAGCAGAGCGAAGGAGGCGGAGTAACGACGCCGCAAACTCCGGGAAGTTTAAGAGCCTTCGCCTTATCAATCTTGATTCCATACTGAGCCGCCATATCACCGGCGAGTAGGTAACAGAGGCATTGCGGCGAGGTTTCCACAAGTCCCGCCAGCTCCGGGCAACACGCTTTGTCCGGCTTGGCCGCACCACCGCCGTCTCCAACCTGAACGTACGAGAGACAGTCCGTCATGTTCAAAAGATTCGTCATGCAGTCTGGTGCAGCCGATGGTCCTGACGAAGGAGATGGACCCATTTGTGATGACACGTGTCCTGTTAGCGACGCTGCAATCATAATAGCGGCGATTACTGTGACGTTGGACATTGTTTATGCGTTGGTCTGACTTCTGAGAGAGGATTTGTGTATAAGATCTTGTAAGCGAAACAATCTTTATTATAGGTTTTTAGTTAGATGCCATTAATGCGTGTTTATAACTACCACCTACTCTCTTTATAAATTTTTCTATATTCTATAATTTCTTTAAATTGCGTCAAATGCTTATTAATATTTGCCGAATTCTCGGACTCTTTAAATGTTGTGCGTCTTTGAATTTCTTAGTTCGATTTATGCGCTGGAAGTTTTCTGATGGAGAGATGTATGGGGTTCGGGGTCAGAACTTTTCTATTAATCTTAACCAAAAGTATGTAGAAAACTTGTTGTGGTATTTTATTTTTTAATAACCAATATGATCCAAGCTTTTACCTTCCGATTCATTTTTTAGTGTGAGTTAACTGTCGACTAGTCTATTCACCAGATTTTTAATATATTTAATAAAGTCTGATACCATATAGAATGACTAAATGGGAATGGTTAGTTGTTAAGGTGTTAAACCAAACAAATCAATTATATTAATCATTGATAGTACTAGAACATCGTATAAGAAATTTTGATAGTACTTTGAAAGCCATCATAATCATAACAACCTCTCAAAATCGTTACATCATCAAAACTAAAGTAACGAAAAGCCATAATTGTAAGGAAATCAATTACTACAATAATAAATGTCGGAATATATAGTAGTTTGCTATTTGACTACCATAATCTAACGTTGAATCATTTTCTCTATACGAATACCAAATTTTATAACTTCGCATAAACTCTCTACTAAACAAGTGATTCATAATGTAGATATAAAAACAAATCTATTATTCCAATATTTATAGGATATGGACAATACATTTTACCGGATTCCAATGTTGTTGATTGGTTTGACGCAAATTCTATTAACTATAAGCTAACATTTTATGCAAATTCGACTGTAGGTCGCCTCGTCACTGGATAATGCTAAGGTTTGTCCATATAAAATTAAAAATAATAAAAGTGATGTGCAGAAGACATGTTAATGATTTCTTTTTTTGCAATTGTGTGAATGAGGGTGAAACGGGTTTTATAGAGAACTTTTCAATTGTTAGACTACGAACGTCTGTATCAGTTAATAAGAGGTTCCCAAAAAATATTATATTATTATTTTATGAATTCTAACTTTATTATAGAATTAATTTTTAATTTTTGCGAAAACGGTAAAATATTAAGAAAGAGATAGATGTACATTGGGTATCTCATGTGTATTGAGTTGGCAGTTAATGCATCGGAAAGCGTTAGAACGCATTAAAGAAAGAGCACATGTAATCCTATTATATATATATATGAATGGTAACGGCGGTGCAGGATGGATTTCACAAATCTTCTTTTATGTTACCAATCCTCAAAAGTTATTGTAACTGTAGTGCGTTTTTCTATTTTTAATAAATATATGAATAGTAAAATGTGGTTTTAGTTTTACGAAGAAAAAATAAAATTTATATAGAATAATAATTATGCTAAGTTTTTGATGCGGTTCTATTTTTATGTGCAGTTTTCTATATTACAATTAAATTTTTTATAAATATTAATATACTAACTGTATTTATAAAAATTATGTTAAAATTTTAAGAATAACAAAAATTTGAAAATTATAGAAAAATTATGAAATTAATTAAATGGATCAATACAGTTTTTTTCTTTAAAAAAAAATTATGTTTTGACCATTTCTAATTTATAATTTTACTAATATTTTTAATATATTTGTTTCTGAAATATCTATCAGATTGCATATATATTGTTTTTCGCTAATTAAATAGTATTTTACACTATTTATTTTGTATTTAACGTACAAATAGTTTTTTTGTAAGTATCGCAGTTGAATTACTCTTCACATACCACAATTGAATTTCTTCTGTAAATACTGCAGTTGAATTCTTCCGTACTTACTGCAATTAAACTGTTCCGCACTCTAAAATCGCTTTTTCCACACAATCAAATACACTGTTACCATTCAGACCTATAATAAGGCAAATATCTTGGACAAAAAAAAAGGCAAATATCAAATACATATACAGTATTAGCATTTTTCAGAACGACATCATTTTTCTCAACATAGATACAAATGTGAATACATGGCGATATATAACTCTAGGTATAGGTATAGATGTAATTATTGAAGCCCCCATTCTATTACCAAATAAGATAACCAACCACATGCCCGTCTTCATAACTTCCAGCTGTTTTGGTCTTAACGTTCGTAACGCTATTTTTTGTGGTTCTCAAATAACGTTCCCCGATCTAAAGTAAAGGTATTCTTTTTTTCTCCTTTACTTTTCTTAACATGATGAGAAACAAAACCAAATCCAATTATACTGAATCATAAATTCATAATCAAATCAAATATTTATGATAATGGATCTGCTGTCTTACGATTTCATGTATGATCAAGCGGACATAAATGATAAGCCAAAGATAACAATTTGACAGAAAAAAATAATAACAGCTGAAAATATATTTAAAGTAAATTATAATTTTCTGTAAAGAACATAATCTATTATATAATAGGAGAGTTTTTTCTCTTCCTAAGGTGTCCACATCAGCACTCTTTTCCTTAAAAAAATATCAAATGTTCATTTATTGAAAACATAACTAATATTTATTACTATATTTTAATATTATATATAGAAAATAATTTCACTTGATATAATATAAACTAATCTCGATAACTATATTCTCAAGACACAAAACATTTAAAAAAAAACCTCACATAAACAGAATATACAATTTAATTTGCTCATCAATATCTTATGAATCCTAATTCTCACAAAATGAATATAACTAATATTTAGTACAATATTTCAATGTTATATATACAAATAAATTTTGGTTCATATAGTATAAACTAATCTCACTAACTATATTCCCAAGTCACTTAATATTATTAAAAAATTCCTGAGGTAAGCAAAAAATTCAATTAATTTTTTTTTCAACGTCTTCTAAATGTTATTTCTCACAAAATGAAAACTACGTATAACAGCCCAAACATGACAGAAAATGAATAAAGTCATCCACAACACAAAATTTCTTATAAATAATTTCTTGCATTAATGCTGCTAATCCGGCATAACTCTTTGGCATTGAATTTAGTATCTTCCTGATGACTTGGTGATTTGTCTTTTGTTCTACTAGTAAGCTCAGCTGGTTCACAATCTCCTGGATTTTATCAGTATACTCTTGAATCTTTTCTTTCACGAACCCGGATTTTGCACGAACACGATTCCTTCTTTTTTTTTTCTTTCTTCACGAACCCGATCTTTACACGAACGTTTCTGCAGCGGAATTGGTTTCGAGCACAAAGTTTGCACGAAACGATTTCTCTAAAATAGAACACTCAGGACCTTGGCTCTGATACTATGTTGGAATATTGAGATTTTTCTTAAAACTTCTCTCTTTATTAATTTTTTTTTTCTTTCTCTCTTTGATAGATATTGTGTTTCTGATATAGAATACATTAAACCTTAATTCTAAAGTTGTAATTCTAAACAAGAATAGTAAATGACTAGTTCTTCATGATTTCCTTTTTACCTAATTTCCTTTCTCCATTTGCTCTTTCTTGATGATTTCCTTTTTGTTTGCTTTTCTCCTTTTCTTCTTTTCTTCTTCTTTGATTTTCCTTTTTACTTAGTATTCCTTTTTCTTTGACAAATGAATCTGTTCCAATAAACCCTAGAGAGGTCGATTATGAAGTTTGGTTATTCCTCTTACTAAATTCGATCTGTAAGTTCGTAGTTATCTTAATATCTCCCCATTGTGTCATCGCTAATGTGACTATAAAGGAAACAGTTACAAATTAAAAATGGAAGTTCTCCTTTTTTTTACATGCTTTTGTATCACTGTCTCTCATTTGCCCTTTCTGGGTAGGTCTTATTATGCTATATGTTTGTCTCTACTAGATTTAGGTAAAAGGAGAATTCAAATTGAATTTATTGCTTTCTTTTACAATTTGTTTTGGCAATTTTGATTCTGGGTCTCTTGTGTATAGGATTATGTATTGGGCTAATTTTCCGTGATGTTTTTGGGAACAGGTGTTTTAAACAACTGGAAAAATAGCAATGTCGAAGCCGATCCTGCTTGTCTTTCTACTGATTATACTTATAGTCACCTCTCAGTTTGAATGGAGACAACCACTTGTTGAGCTGAGACGATAGTACTGAAGTTATCATCTGCAAGAACCATATCAGAAGCTTCTTTTGCAACCTGAAATTGTACAACATCATACAGTAAGTATCAGAAAGTACATAGCTTGGTCCATCAAAATCGCAAATTTCAAAATCTCAGTTTTGCTCTGTTAACACAACGTCGTTGAAAGGTAACTGATGCAGTAACCAGCTTGTAACAGAAACAATAGCAAATCTCAGACAGGGAGCAAGCTGTGAAAGAGAAGGTACTGATTCCAAACTCTTTTATTAAAAAAATGAGTTGGCAAAATGCTAGTCATTTCTGTTTTGCAATGGCGTAGTGACACTTGCTGTAAATGTTTGTCATTTCTGTTATATATTAATGTTTATCATATCTGTTATATGACAAATTCAATGGCAGATAAGATCAAAGCTTGAAATTTAAACACTCTAATTGCTTGTCATATATGAAAGTTTGAATAAAATCCAAATTAAAATATCAAAGGTTGCATACTTCACGCAACAAAACATTCTACAAATATATTGCCCAGTTAATTCTTAGCGGCAGAAATCCTGTAAAACATTGAAGTCCTGGTTAAGGGTCTTCGCTTATCTCTTCAAACAAAAACGTGAGTTTCATTATCTTGTAACAAATTAGCACTTCGTTACCTGCAACCACCAATCTCATACCAGAATACATAGTATTAGCGACCATCTGGTCATGAGTATATTAAAAAAATGTATTATAGAGATTGAAAATTACCTTCTTGACATCAGATTTCTTCTACAAACTTCTTGTCCAAGTTCTGAAACACTTCTTTGAACACTACATTCATCGTTTTTCTCTGAGACTTTCCTTCTTTGTCTACAATAAGCACTTTCAATCCCTTTTTTGATGTGACCCTAGATAACGCCACATATAGCTGTCTATGAGAAAAAACTGGTCTAGGCAAAAAGAGCCCCACTTCTTTAAGTGATTGTCCCTGACTCTTGTTAATAGTCATAGCAAAAGCAACATACACTACAAGAAATATGTACATTCATAGCATACGAATAACGCTATGAAAGTACTTTCATAGCATTTTCATAAACGCTGTATCTGCCGGAGCTATAATAGAGTACACCCCTTAATATAGCGTTTATGGAAAGTGTTATTATATTCATATATATAATAGCATTGTTATGATGTTATTATAAATGATACGGTAGCACAAATTAGACGCTGTATTATTAAATGTTGTAGCTTTATTTTTGTGTTATTGACACTTTTATAGTAGCGTGGTTTTATAGCTACATTCTAATTTACTATAAGAGAAATTCATTGCTGTTGTTAGTTGAGTCGTAGCATTATATTTTAGCTCCAACATCATATACTGTAGCTATTTTTTCACGCTGTATTGTTTAGTGTTGGAGCTGTTCTTACGTGCTATTGAATTTGGCGATGTAGGTTTTTTTTAACCAAATACGATATATCCAAAACCTCAAGAAATGCACTTACTAAATATCAAAACCTGGTAAACAAAAATTGAAATGCATCTGCTTTTCCATATAGAAGAACTGAGTACTGGTTAATGTTTCAGCAACATACAAGCATTTCCAACAAAGAAAACCATAAACACATATCAGGTTATGTCTTCAACGAAACCATCCTTAAGTTCAGAGAAGATAAAAACTAAAGTATCAGATGACTACTGCATTTAGACGAGTACCACTTTATCCTCTGGCTAAGCAATAGCTGTTCCTATTGCATCTTCCATGCACTCGATCTCAGACGAAGGCCTCCATACGCAAGCATCTTTAACTTTGACAACATCAATCCACACCTTAACTGCATTTGGACCCAAGGGAACAAAATGTACTGTTTGAGGTGGATCGTTTGTGGACCAACGTCCTTCAGCAATCACTCGCTTCTTTCTAGTAATAGCCATCACCAAGCACTTCTTATTTTCATTCCCCGTTTCCATTTGGTTGGATTCCTGTAGCGAAGACATTTTGAATATATAGCTATACACGAAATCAACAAATCCAAACAAACCAAACAAATGAAAGTTTAGTAAGAAAACCTACCTGAGTTATAGGAGTAGAACTTTCTAACATTGCTTTCATTGGTTTTTTTATTGGAGCTGGTGGAGTTGATTCAGAGTTAGCAATAGGAGAACTCGTTTCAGGACTTGCCTCAAAGATTACTCTATTAGCAGGCCAGGCGACAAAGGTGTTGACTGAATCCTCCAAATCTAAGAACTCAGTCGTTGGCCTCCAGAGGAAGGTATTTGGGCATAAAACCACATCGACGAATACCTTCACTGCATTAGGTCCGAGAGGTAGTCCGTTGACTAATGCTTTTGGCTCTCGAGAATGCCAACGACCCTCTGCAACAACTTCCTCGTTAGTTCTAGCCCAGTCAAGCAGCTTGCAGAAGTTCCGAGAGCTAGTATTAGGACTCTGTGAAGCAGTAAACAAATGAAACCATTGTCAAGCATTGCACAGTTTTACTTTTACTATAAACTCTACTATAATATTCCGTACTGAAAGAATATTTACCAGAGGCGTAATGTCTTCTGGTTCACATCCGCTGCTAAAGGGAACCACAAAATTTTGAGGCCATGCAATCATCTCTCCAACTGCTTGCTCCATATTAAAGACGTTGCGAGCAGGTCTCCAAAGATAAGCTTCTGGCTTAATCGCTGTTTCCACCAAAACTTTGTACGAGTTTGGGCCTAAGGGTATACTGTTGACAAATTCCCCAGGCTCTTCAGACAAAATACGTCCTTCACCAACTTTTTCATCCGTTCCAGCCCAGTCGAATAACAGACACTTCATTTGTAATTTCATGTTGACACTCTGCAAACGTTAATGGTGAATTGTAAAAACAGATGTAAACATATGACATATATTTTAAATGCTAAATAAGACAAAACAAGAGTTTACTCTTGGCCTTCGAGTATAGAAGTGCTTTCGTATTCAGTATTTCGTTCTTGTCTACCTTCGACACTTGTGGTCTTCCTCAAGAAATCTCTGCAGAACTGCATACATTCCTCTGCTAGATATGATTCAGCAATACATCCTTCCGGTCTTGCAGGATTCTTGACGTAGTCTTTCAACAGTTTCATGTGTCTGGTAGGAATTAAGAAGACAAGAATAACGATAATGGAAGATGAAATATGCGGCAAGCAAACTTATCAAAACCCTTGTATAGACAACTTATCTCTCGAAAGGATACATCCATCGCAAGTGCACAGGTCCACCTAATCTAGCTTCCCTCCCAAGATGTATACACAAGTGAATCATTATATCAAAGAAACTAGGTGGGAAAAATCTCTCAAACATACAAATAGTCTCAACGATTTCGTTTTCCATTCCTGATATTTTCTCCCTATCAACAACACGTTGACATAGATTGTTGAAGAATGCACATAATCGTGTAATGGCTATTCTAGGCCCTTTCGGTAAAAGACCTCTAAGTGCAACTGGTAAAAGTTATTGCATGAGCACATGGTAATCGTGTGACTTCAATCCCATTGTCTTAGACTCTTCTAATGATACGCACCTGGATATATTGGAGCAATAACCATCCGGTCCTTTGAACTCATGTAGACGCTTGCAGAATAGTCTCTTCTCTTCCTTTGACAAAGTCCACGGTGCTGCAGGTAAGTAAGTTCGTTTGCCTCTGGCTTTAGGATGTAACTCTTTCCTAATACCAAGGACTTGTAGATCTTTATGAGCATTAAGACCGTCTTTTGAATTTCCACAATGCAGCAAGGTGGAAATGATGCTCGCTGCAACATTTCTTTCTACGTGCATAACGTCTAAGTTATGTCTGACAGGGAGTTCCTATGGATTGCATTTAGACATGTTAACTGAAAGTCTTTAAATTATGTATAGTGTATTTAACAAATATAAATGAAGTTGTAAAATGATAACATACCTCCCAGTAAGGAAGATTGAAAAAGATAGATCGTTTCTTCCATCTAGATAATTCTTCTTCATCTACTTCCTCTTCCTCCTCTGATTCGGATTCTTCGTCTTCACTATCAGCTAATGACTCCGCAGGAATAACCCTTTTTCTTTTCCTTCCAGCTTGTATAACATTTCAAAACTCGTTTTTGTAATTCTTCAGCAACACAGATATGTTATGACCCGTTAGAATCCTACCCTTCCTTCCATTCAACTTTTCCATCGAACCATGCCTTCTTCCCACGGTAACTATGCATGGGTGATAATCCCTTTCTATGACACATGTAAACATGCTTCCTGCTATTAGGTAACCATAAACTATCAGTATGCTTTCCACATAATGGACATCCCATCTTACCTTTTACTCTGCAGCCAGCCAGATTTCCATATGCAGGTAGGTCACTAATAGTCCACAATAGCATTGCCTTCATTGTGAATGTGGTTTTACTGAATGCATCATACGTTTGCTCTCCAATGTCCCACAATCGTTGGAAGTCATCGATTAGTGGCTCCAAGTACACATCTATACTGTTGCCAGGTTGATACGGTCCAGGAATCAACAAGGAAAGCACGATATTCTCCTTCTTCATACACAAGTCTGGAGCCATATTATAATTCACCAACAATACAGGCCAACAAGAATACCTTGTATTTTTCATGCTGAATGGATTGAAACCGTCGGTAGATAGACCTAGCCGAATGTTCCTTGATTCTGCGGCAAACAACGGGTACTTGGAATTCATCTGGTCCCATGTTACGGAGTCTACGGGATGACGCAGCTTTCCATCATTACTTTTGTTAGTAAATGCCACCGTAGCTCCTTAGCAGTTTGCTCTGACCTAAACATCCTCTTCAGCCTCGGAATGATGGGAAAGTACCTCAAAACTTTCTGAGGGACACCTTTTTTAAGTTCACCGGTTTGGAAGTTAGTCTTCCATCTTGATGTCTTGCACTTGGGACAGTTGTCTAACTTCTTCAACCCCTTTCTGAAAAGACAACAATCATTAACACAGGCATGGATCTTCTCGTACCCCATATGGAAAGACTTGAGGAACTTCTTCACGTCATACAACGAGGTGTGAAGCACATTATCCTCCGGCAACATACTCGGCAGTGTCTCTAACAGCTCGTTGAAGCTCTTGTCCGACCACCCATTCTGAGTCTTCAGCCTAAACAACGATACAATTGCTGATAGCTTGCTATGGCTGGCACAACTTGGATACAATGGCGTTTCGGCATCAGCAAGTTTAGCTAGAAACTCGTCTTCTCTCTTGTCTAAACCTTCAGCAACATCGCATAAGTCCGTCTTGTTAGCTAACTCTTCATCCAAGTATTCGGCAGC